TAATTATAATTGCTATGATAAAAATAACACCATTATTCTTAGCATTAGTAAAGAATGTTTTTCCATTTATTCAAGGAATGGTGAAATCAGGTAAGGTCACAAGGTCTACTAATTGACTCCTTTGTGGCTAAGCACTAGCAGAGCCATCTGTGTGCAGAGACATTTCACAAGAAATATAGAAAATAAGCACAGCATTTTCCCCATTTTTTATTCATTTTCCTCAGTGGCATGTGGTTAAAGATCATATTTTTAACACTAATTCAACTCTTTATGATTAATATGTTTTCTTTTACAATTCAAAATTTGTTTTGATTTACTCCTTACTATCTATCTGGTGGAAAGAAATGATGTGGTTTCAAATCTTCATTTATCAAAAATGCTGTACCATAAACCAGTCACATTCTTTAACAACTAAAAGTCTATTTTTTAACATTCTTTACATCAGTTGACAAAATAAGAAAGAGTCCAAGATACAGAAGATAATATCTTCTGTATCATAAATGAATTGCTGGTCTGAATAGCTTACCAATATTGGTGCATATTTATTCCATGTAGTAAATTCTGTGTGAGCAAAATGTTTGAGTATAAACCTACACTATATTGATTTTTGTACAATAGCAAATGTACATAATACAGGATATCAGTTCCAATTAGTCGCATTTTTACATTTTCTTAGTTCTTTTGTAGTTTAGTTCAGTCTGTAATTGCCCCCAGCCCTGGTCACAAAACTTTAATTGTACAGATGCACATTAGTAACAGGAAGGAGAAGCCCTTTACCACCCTGTGCCCATTTTTGTTAGACAAAGCATAATGTGGAAGACAAAGTCCTTGGGTAATGTAAGCACTAAAGCAGACACATTTGTATGCCTGTTACTTGGCTTTGTGTGGAAGCAGCTATTATTAAGTCAACTTCCTGATTGTAACTTGTAAGTATTGGGCATTTAATAAAATTATCTGTAGTGGTATTGCAGTGATTTATATGAATGTATGTTTCGATATTAAATGAAAACCTGAAAATATGACAATTATTTTTATTATTAGAAATAGCAGCAATTAATTATTGATACTATGCTCTATATTTCACTTTATCGTTTAAAGTTTGCATTTTGACTTGTGATTGTAGTAACAGTATTATAATTGATGATTCTCCTAATAAGGCATGGCTAATAATTGTACCTATTAGTAGTAGTGGTAGTTGTATCATTAATGGTGATGATTGATATTGCTGTTTAGTTATTAAATTTATTTTTTTTACTATGCTAATCACAGCAACAGTATTATAGTTAATGATTCTCTTCATTCCCCTTCACTTGCCTCCTATTTCCTCTTCAAGCTTTTCCATTCAAGGTCATCTTTTATACTTTGAATTATCCTTTATTTCGGAAATCACTATATCAAGACTTGTTTGGGACCAAGTCGTTAAGTATTTTGCAGAACACCAAAAGAAACTATCAGAGATCAGACACATTACTTATCCTTAATGTTTTTTTTCTATACTTCATCCTTTTTTTAATGAACTGCTCAATCTAAGTTCTCTTTTGGAACGTTTCCCAAAAGTACTTTCATTCATATGTATATATATGTATTTTTTTTTAGCTCTTGATAGTAGTGCATTGTTTGAAGAACAGTTCCCTGATAGAAGTGCATTGTGTGAAGAACAGTTCCCTGATAGAAGTGCATTGTGTGAAGAACAGTTCCCTGATAGAAGTGCATTGTTTGAAGAACAAAACGATTCCCTGATACATTTGCAGTTGGTTAAAGAGTAAAATGAACTGTAGTAATTCTAACATTTAACTGTGGGAATGCCAAGGTGAAGATGCACTGATAACTATGGTTTTTCTACCATAGTATCAACGCGGTAAAGTGTTTTCCTCATTCACTGATAACTATGTAGAAAGTTTATTAAATGTGAAGTGAGTGGATGTGTGTGTGTGGATTTATTAAAATGATGATAACATTTATTTTTTTTTGTGTTCTTATCTTTCTTTCACTGAAATTCAATGAAAAAAAACAAAAAAAAATGAAACCATGTGTCAAGGGACCTCTAGCTGACTGTTTTGCTCTTCTTCTGTGTGCATTTTTCAAAGAACACATTAGGCGAAGAATCACAACTTAAATGTATATAAAAATATATTTTTTCTATCTTGCTACATTGCCTCAGCTGCATTGCAAGAATGTTACATAACTGACAAAAAATATTTTTCTCAATTTATTTTGTTTCGGAAGACCTACAAATAAAGGTAAACCAACTCTTCACTTTACTTAATATAAAGTAAAGGCTCTGGAATGCCATCTTTTAAACAAAAGCGTACATCATTTTAGAGTGATAGCTATAACAAATCTTTGGATATGACTAACTTAATAGTGCATTGATGTATTTCAAATATTTTTGTTTTCTTTTTCTTTTTTTCTTTTTTTTATTGAGAAAGAAGCTTCACACCAATCTACAATAAGAAAACACTAGTCATGGTTTATATTCGGCTTGGGGCTGGCTACCTTTCATCAAGATGTAAGACAACTGTCAAAAATTACACACACACAAATAAGTCAACACTTTCTACATTTGCAAACATAATTGACATCACTTTTAATTTCCTCAAGTAACTGCTTCAGGAGGAACACCTCGCGGCCGTAGTGGACGTCAGGCATGTAGGACTTGTGGAGTGCCTGGATGCAGGACTTGGCGTTCCAGTCGTGGCCGTAGATCTTTTCGCCAGACCGGTGGACGATGGGCTTGAGAACGGGCGTGATCTCCTCCTCATCGAGCGGCTCCACGAACAGCGGCACCACCGAATTCCTGCTGATGAGAGTCCCCGGGAAGCAGATCCCCAGGACCTCGTCCCGGAGGAGGGCGCGGGACAGCAGCACGAGGACCATCGTCGAGGATTCAAGGAGTTTCTGCCACACGTCGAGTCTTTGGTCGCCCAGCTGAACCTCCCATGGCCCTGCCACAGTAATATATTCGTACCCCTCCAGTATCTTCCGCAGCTTAGTGCCAAGGGCAGTGTCTTTCTCGGCGTACACCAGCAGGTAGTGCCACTGCTGAGCGTGGTTCACGAACAAATTATTTGCCCTGAGGGAGATAATTATGTAATTAAGATCTTCATAATTACTCTTTGGTTACGACATCTGACCGCATACAAAGAATTAATTCCATGTATTAAGTAGTCTATACTGGATGCACATTTCATGATTTGAAAACATCTTACCCACTGGTATTAACAGACACAATAGCTACAGGTAAACCTACCTTCTGCTTCCTACAGTTTTAATAAGCTCAGACATGAGCACGTTTCGCTGTTCGACGAGCTGCTCCAAGGGGTCAGCAAGGACCCTGGCGGGAAAAAAAAGTAAGGCTTGGTAACCATTACAACTTACAGGAGCATAATTTATACATAAAAAAGTTGCACACAAATTGTACATTAGGTGCTCCTCCTCACACTTAAAACTGATGAATGTTAGGCCTAAGTACTAACTTCGATGGAGCTATGGCTGTCTTCGCCAGCCCGATGATCGCCGATTCGAGAGACGTCGGTGAAGTCGGCGACGACAAAGTTCCTTTCGCTTTCGACAAGGGCACTAAGCTGCTGGTACTCAACGATAAAGCTGAGCTATTTCGTACCAACGGTGACTCTTGGCAATCATCTGAGGTCGACGTCAGGAGCGTGATATTAGATGATGCTGACGAGCGAGAACTAAGTGAAGAGTACCCCGATGAAAGTGAATTGTACGATCTGAACATGGGTGAGTCTCTGTGCGACCTTTGAGACTGTCCTTTCGCGTATTTTAAGGATTCCGAGGAACTTCTTGAGTGAGACTTAACCATGACAGATTCGTCATCGGTGGTATCCGTCTTCATCAGCCGATATTTCTGCATCCTTCTTTTTTCTCTCTATTTTGCCTGAAATGTTATCTAATATCAATTAATATGTCCCTGGCACATGGTAATGACATCACACGGGGCGTGTAAAACAATGGCAGAAAAACTGACATCATAAGCCCTCATTTCCGCTACAAACACAAAGTAAATGCTTTCACACACAGTAAAGTATCGCAGGTCTTTACTCGCAACAGTAACTACTACCAATATTACTAAACCGATGCAAAAAGTTGAATTTTTTCACTAAGCAGATCAGGATTTTTAAATGAATCAAAGGCTGCGAAAATGAGGCAAAATAATTCCGTCATTATTATCATTATTTTTTTTTCTTTTTTTTTACGAAAGTCATCACTCAATGAAATAAGTGATGACACATTTGGAACAACTTATACCGTCTATTCTGTAACAAGCTACATTACCAGTTTTACAACATGGACATATTGATGTGTGTGTGTGTGTGTGTGTGTGTGTGTGTGTGTGTGTGTGTGTGTGTGTGTGTGTGTGTATGTATGTATGTATATGCATATATATATATATACATATAAACACGCACACACACACAAACACACACACACACACACACACACACACACACACACACACACACACACACACATATATATATATATATATATATATATATATATATATGCATGTATAAGTATGTATGGATAAGTATGTATGTTATATATATATATATATATATATATATATATATATATATATATATATATATGCATGTATAAGTATGTATGGATAAGTATGTATGTTATATATATATATATATATATATATATATATATATATATATATATACATATATATATATATATATACATACATATATATATATATATATATATATATATATATATATATATATATATGTACGTTATATATATATACATATATATATATATGTATATATATATATATATATATATATATATATATATATATATATATGTACGTTATATATATATACATATATATATATATATGTATGTATATATATATATATATATATATATATATATATATATATATATGTATATATATATATATGTATATATATATATATATATATATATATATATATATGTATATATATATGTATATGTATATATATATATATATATATATATATATATATATATATATATATATGTACGTTACACACACACACACACACACACACACACACACACACACACACACACACACACATATATATATATATATATATATATATATATATATAATGTACGTTATATACACACACACACACACACACACACACGTGTGTTGATATATGTTGATATATGTTGATATATGTTGATATATGTTGATATATTCCATCCTCAGACCTGAGGAGGGAATCCAGGTGGATTCCGAAACTGTTGTCTCATTTTTAATAAATCTAGTTTTTACGTTGTGGGTTTTTCTACCATAGTATCAACACGGTAAAGTGTTTTCATCATTCATGTTTATATATATATATATATATATATATATATATATATATATATATATTCATATATATATATATATATATATATATATATATATATATTCATATATATATATATATTCATATATATATATATATATATATATATATATATATATATATATATATATATATTTTTTTTTTTTTTTTTTTTTTTTTTTTTTTTATATATACACATTTATATTTATATATCATCTATAATTAAAACTACAGAACATTAACTTTATATGTTATCTCTACCTCAATACTTTGAGGGGGCAAAATACAAAGAAGTAGAGTGCGTGAAAAGATATTGGAAGGTAACACTAAGTTTCCTTCATCTTCATCATCTTCTAGTGGCTTCATTCCCGAGCTTGTCAAGGTCACCGGGTCGAATCTTCCTGCTTCTCCTCCTCCACACATGTCTCCTCCTCCCCTCCACTCCATACATTGTTTACACAACTTGCATATCTTCCTGCACGCGGCCCATCCCTCAGCTCCTAGGCCTACCTGTCACTCTTGTTCTTACCCTTACAGTCATCTTTCTTTTGCCCACAAACTGTTCATTCCAAGTTTTCTTAACGTTGTAAAATCCGGTTCCTACAGACGCACACAATTCAAGACGACTCACCAGCTACGTCCACACCAACTAATGTACGGCATAAAAATAACTCCATATAAGACACTTTTTCCTTCCCGGTTTATTCGTCTCAATCCCTTTACTTGTCACAGTCCTCGGCTAAGTATTTACTAAGTCTTTTGAGGGAGATTTCACACACAAAATTCGGAGAGCAGCGAGAAACTTACACTTCCTCAGCGCCGGTGTCCGTGGTACTAGAGGCATGGTGCTGTCTCGCCATGTTGATGTCATTTGTCGAGATTAGGTGTGTGTGTGTGTGTGTGTGTGTGTGTGTGTGTGTGTGTGTGCGTGTGCGTGTGCGTGTGCGTGTGCGTGTGCGTGTGCGTGTGCGTGTGCGTGAGTGTGAGTGTGAGTGTGTGTGAATGTGAATGTGAGTGTGAGTGTGTGTGAATGTGAGTGTGTATAGATGTGTGAGTGTGCATGAGTATGAGTGTGAGTGTATGTTTATATGTGTGAATAAGTATGTTTGCGCACATGTGAAATTTATGATAATAAACACTAAACACTATGAAAACAGCAAAGTGACACAAATACAACAAAGGAACCACGACAATGATAATAATAATAAATATTACCATTATCATTACTACTACTATCATTATGCTTACCATGCTGTTATCATTATCTATCATTATTATTATCATAATATGATAATGATTATGAAAATAATAATATCAATAATAACAACAACAATAATAATAATAACGATAACAACAACAACAACAATAATGATAAGAGCAATGATAAAGATTAATCATAATAATTTTGATAATAAAAATTAAATAGATAATAATAATGGTAACGACAATAATAATAATAATAATGATAACACATATGATGATGAAAATGATAACGACAATAATGATAATACTACAACTAATCATCACCATAATAATAATGATTGATGATGATGTTGATGGATAATAATGCAGTGGTTTATGGGCAGCTGCTCTGCCACTCACCCTCGCTACTGAAGCCGACGAATATTCCTCAGGTCGTGAATTATAGGGTATGAACATGGGCGTGAGGCAAAAGCCGGGCAAAGTTAACCTCCATGGTCTACAGGAGTTGAGACCAGTATCTATTTTCAACTGCTTTATTACTACAATATTTAGTAGTAATAAAGTTAAAATCACTGTCGAGTTCAGTATCAATAAAGCACACGGTTAACGATACACAGAATATGTAAACACAAGAGTCTCCCTCAGCCCACACTCACACCTTTTCACAATCGAGGTTACTCGCCAACTGCCTGGGATAAGTCCGATATGCGAAGCTGAACCTCGCCCGGATTATGAGGGGAGCCAGCCCTGTGTCGACTAATGTCGACTCGCTAACAGTGTGTCAGCTTGGTGCTGATTCGGCTTAGTCCTTACCCGCCGTGGTGCCCAGCCATAGCAATAACCTTCAGGCGACAATTGCAACTTCTCGCGACTGGGCGGGGCGCGAACCGCCGACCCATCGTATGAAAGGCCGACACGTTATTACTGTACTACCCCGGGGGCTCTTCCTACTGTTGGCGACTCCAACGCCCACTCGGCGAAAGGGTTGCCATCTATCTCAGTAGTGAAAGGGCTTGCGTGTGGATCACGAGCTCTCTCTGACCTGAGATTCATGGCACGTTCTCCTGGAGGTGGGGCGTTTAACGGAAGACGCAAGGGCGTACCGCTGGGTGTTAGCAAGCGCAGTCAAAAAAGGAAACAGCCCCCAAGTGGCAACATGGCCATCACCCGTTCGCATATGTGAATACTCAAGGATACGTCACACTACAATAATAATTTTAATAAAACAGGAAAACTAATAAAAATATAAAGATAACATTAACGATGTCAATGAATTTTACCAGGACAGAGACAAAAATCTAAGCAAAGCATGGGTAACTGGTTAATCCTTGGGCGACCTTCTAACAAACGGCATAGCGAACGGCTGTTTCTCTCTGCTTACCAAATATTTCGTTGTTCCTTTTTTGAACGGCATTTGAGAATGATTCTGCAAATATCAAACCTAATCTATCTACAAAAGTGTAGATAAATCCGTTAGTTTTTCGTTATATGTGTGTATCTGCGTGGATCTATCTTGAGAGGGAGAGTTTATCGTCATCTACGCATAATGAAACGACCTTGAGAGGAACAGGGAGGAAGGCGCAGTTACTGAACAAAGTATAGGATTACGCTATGTATGTTTAGGCTACGGATGAGCGATAGAAATAAAAAAAAAATGTTTGCATATTTGTTTGTTTTATTTTCCTGAATGTGGATTCCTATCTATTATTTAGCCGAATCTAATGGTTAGAGTCCGTAGACTCGTAGAGTGTACGCCTTCACAACAAGGGTATCACTACAATGTGATTGTGTTGCATGAGATACGCAGTGACTTGCACGTTGTTTCAGTCTTGACTTTACGTTCTATGACATAACAGGAGTGTAGATCGCCTTTACTATTTAACTTTTGCTGCCGTTAAAGGTTATTCTTATTACCGTTTATTCTTTGCTCCAAGTCAAGCAGAGACTACCTGCGTGACAAAGTCATGCTCGTAGAGTCTATCGATATAGATCTGCGAAGCAGTATGTTAAAGAGGAGTAACCTCCCCATTCCTTAACCCCGTTCATGTTACCAATTGTTTTTCTTCAACCATAGCCAAACGAAAACCTTCCTAGGAGCAAGGGGATTCCCCTATAATATCACTTGCGTCACCTCAGTAACGCTGTCTCAAATGCAAGCTCCCCACCTTTTCCTCCATATGTAAACAGAACTACGGCGAATGAAAATAATCACATTCAAATAATTGGAAAAAAACGAAAGTAAAGTGAAATTAATGCAAAACATTAGTACTATAAAGTCGCTATATAAGTTATGGTTCCGCCAGCTGTCACTTTCTCCAAGACTACCAATAAGTTGTAAGAGTGATATCTTCGACATGCACATAGAAAAGACAAATCTAGATATTGAACTGACCCTGTTTGTTTATCCTAATAATATTTTGCTGCTTGGTTTTGTGAACCACTGTGTAGAATGGAAGGAAATTCCCTTGTTAAATCACCACATGTGCAAAACCAAGCTAGTTTACACATAATCCACTGGTCAAGTTTTACCTTCTTAAATCCTGCGTCCTTTGGGAAGCCATGTTGCAAAGGAACGCAAACGTTTGGGTACAGTTTTTTTCCAGAAGCTGCAACGCAATTTCCAGCATGTGCATGTTCACTGTAAAGAGATCGATTTCGCAGAACACGTGCACATCATTTCAAACTTTTTTAGAATTCACAACATTGTCACCAGACAGAAGATGCAAGAGAGAAATAAAATAAAAATTGGCAACAATACTGTTACCAGTTGCAGGTTACTCTGCTAACAGAGCTGAAGATGCCAGATATAGATTCTTTAATATTTGTGTCTTCGTACGTTTGTATATATGCTGTATGTGTTTTGTATGAATAAATATATCCATGTACATACACTGGTTATGTGTGTGTGGATAAACACACACACACACACATACACACATACAAACACGTATGCATACACACAAACACACATACACATACACACACGCGTATGCATACACTCACATACGCGTATGCATACACACACACGCATACACATATATGTATATAAATATGCATACAAACACACACATACACACTCACACACACACACACACATATATATATGTATATATATATATATATATATATATATATATATATATATATATATATATATGAATAGATAAATAAATAGATATATATATATATATATACTTATATATAAATGAATAAATAAATATGTATATATACATATATATATATATATATATATATATATATATATATATATATATATATACATATATATTTATATATATATGACCACTCAATAAGTACTGAACCAAGCCTCCAACTCGGTCAAATCACCACTGGTAAAATCCATACAAAAGTCTAAGGGTCGGGCCCCTTACACTTAGTCCGGTCTATATGTAGAAGAGGGTAGTGGGTTACTTTCGAAACAATTATTCTGCACGAAGTCCACTGCTTTCAACGATTCTAGGCGTTGTTCCTTGTGCAAATGAATCGTTAAGTAGATATGATCTCCATCGACAATCTTAATTTGATAGTTCCGAGAGCAGGGGAGGGCATGAAGTGTATCAGGGAATTTATGGGGTAAAACAGGCTGATAAAGAATGAATACAGAACAAAAAAGCGCAAATACACCATAAATAAACGATGAAAATCCCACCGTGGAACTCTACGGACACGACTGCCACCTTTGAAAGTCTACGGGCTTGGGATGCCTCTTGCTAGGGTTGCACATATATTAAAAAGTTCTCATAAGGAAGAACTAGTAGATCTGACGAACACTCAAAGGCCTGAAAGCTGTACCATAAGGCACTACGATCAGTATAGAGATAGCAATACCAGATAATGTGGCGTGGCTATTGCCAGAATACGTTTAGGTTACAGAATGTATTGGCAACTGCACGGTGCAAGAAGTGCAGATGAATCTAAATGTAGACTGTGTAACGAAGAAAACAAACGAACGCTTGAGCATTATATATCGGAATGTCATGTGATACTGCCTTTCAGACCACCTAACATGAGGTATAGAGAACTATGTGAATATTTCATTTCATCTGATACACTGGAAGATATACTTGTATTATATCCAAAATTTACTATGTAAAACTGCCGTAAACAAAAAACACAGTGTTATGTAAACACTGGCAAAAGCATATTAACGTATTATTTTGTATGATGTATGACATATTTCTATATTACCATGTACTATGACAGTAGTCACAGACTACTGTACTGTGTCAGATATATGTAAAGCTGTAATCATGATTGCCCACGCCTGAGCAGTTAGCCAGGGTGGTAAATAAACTTTCTAAGCTTAACTTAACTTACGGACCGACGCGCAAACTGCATAAACGGATCTTAAAACCCGCAAAGGAAGTATAATAATATAAAAAAAATGTTAAAAGCTTAAATGTGGAAAAGCAGATCCTGATAATTACCAAAATATCCTTTTTGGCAATTGCGTAGTAATAAATGAACTGCTTGGTGTAGCAATGAGTTATGCGGTCAGTCTAGAACTCACCCTCGCAATGTAAACAAGATGAGCGACTGGGCCAGAATTGGGGATCTTCTCTTTTCTTTTGCGTATAGCACCCTTGGGAAGCATTTGCACACATATTGCCATAGAAGAACTTTGTTTTGGTTTGTATTGTTCTATCATTTCATGTAGGTTTTATTACCCAACTCATATTCTAATAATGCTTACAAATGAAAGCGCACAATACTTAATTTCAATATATTAATTTGCCTGGTGCACAACTAAATTCATTATTCAGATATGAACAGTTATCACATGCATAAGTCACTTTATACATCTGCGCAAGCGTAGAGAGAAAGACTTCCAATAATCATTTGACTATTTCTTAACCATGGTAAGTACAATAAGGAACTTATTAGCAGTTATGGCATATATTCTTGCCATCCGTGCTGATTGGGTAAATTTCAATATATTCATTTGCCTGGCACTCAAGTAAATTCATAATTCAAATGAATAGTTATCACATGCATAAGTCACTTCTTACATCTGTGCAAATATGGCGAAGAAAAAGAAAATCTGGAAGTCGCATGCTAACACAAAATACCCTGTGATTACCTGTACCCATTGTGGTAAGCTGGCTAAGTTAGCGAACGTGAATTAGATGACCCTGTAATTACTTAGTACGAAGTGAGAGGTCAATTACTCGAGTAGAATGTAGGTATTTAGCCCTTATGGATACCGACTCATTTACCGTTAGGTAGGCACATCCAAGGGATGCAGAAGCAATTGTCATTTATTGATGTCCATACTATTGACAGGTTATATCATAGGTTACACATCCTACCATAGGCGGTGGAGCGAGTCTATGACTGGGGGGGGGGGTGAACGTGAAAATTCTGAGATTTCATTATTCAAAAAAGAAAAGAAAAGAAAAGAAAAAAAGAAAGAAAGAAAAAAAGAAAAAAAAAAAAATATATATATATATATATATATATATGATAGCCTGTCATAGGTTTTGTTGTGGTGGGGTGGAGAGGGGGCGATTTGCTTAAAAAACAGATTACATGTCCATTCGAACACCGCTAGTTTGGCGTTCATGAGCCCAGGAAAGTCTGTCCTTTACTTTACTATACTCCACTATACCTATACAATACTTTTGATAAATCAGGTTCATGGAAACCAACATGTCTGCTGTAAGAGTGATACCCATTCTGGTAAAAGGAGATATAGTATAATTATAGTATATTTACATTAGTCTGTGTGAACGTGTAAAACCAGATGTAAAGCACATTGTTTCAGCAATTTCGGGGGGGGGGGGGGG